GTGGCTCTTCTTTTGAACAAGAGAATGAAGGGGGCGTGGGAGCGTGGCGGTGAGGTGTGGGAAGCTGTAAGCCCCAGGCTACTTTGGGCTCGCCTTCCCATCAACCGGAGGCGAGGAATGGTGGTCGTGGTTACTTATGCCCCCAACGAAAATGAATATCCGTGGAAGGATGCAGGCAAAGCCGATGAGTCAGATGCCTTCTATGACCTCCTGTCACAGGTGCTGGCTAAAGTGGTCCCTCGGGATAGAGTCATCATGTTGGGTGACTTCAATGCCCGAGTTGGTCATGATGCTGGCACCTGGTCTGGAGTGATTGCAGGGCATGGGCCAGATCAGCTCAATAACAACGGCAGGAGGCTGCTAGACTTTTGTGCAGCCCATGGGCCTGTAATTACCAACACGCTGTTCCGGCATCGGCGCATCCAGACAACATCATGGATGCGTGCCGGGTCCAAGCAAGAACATCTGCTGGACTACATAGTGACGGACCAGCGGATGCGAGCCCATGTACTTGACACCAGGACCTACCGTGGAGCTGATCTGCCCTCTGACCATCGACTCGTCATCTGTAAGATGCGCCTGCCATTTTTCCACTCCGGTGGTGGGTGTACACCAAGGACCCCATTCCAACCTAAAGTGGCCTGGTCTCAATTATCTGATGAACGTTGCAAGCGAGAATTTCATCATCGCTTGCGGCTGGGATTGGCATCGTCCCCGACTCCTCCTGATGTCGAGGGTAAATGGGCGAGGTTTAGGACTGTGACTCATGCAGCTGCAATGACCGCTTTGGGTACGCGGTCCAGACCTCCCCAGAGACCCTGGCTGACAGAGGAGATGTTCAGGATGGTTGAGAAAAAGCGACAGGCCCACTGTCATCGGCTACAGAATCCCACGTCAGAGAATGAGGAGGCTTACCGCAGCCTTCGCTCGGAGGTTCGGAGAGCCATGAGGCGCTGCAAGAATGGGTGGTGGTCGCGGGTTGCTGAGGAGATGGAGTCTGCCTCAGTGGCCCGTGATCACAAATCTCTATTTAACTCCATCAAAAAAGTAACCTGCAGCGCCACACCTATTACCATCATTAGGGGAAAAAACGATGATCCAATCTCCGACCCCGAGGAACAGGTTTGCAGATTTGCTGAGCATTTCTGTGAGGTCCTGGGGGAGGGAAAATCCCTCAGCCAGGAAAACATCGAGGCACAAAGTGAGGATGACCCTGCTGAGGCTGCGGTGCCTCAAATATTGGAAGAAGTCACCCCCTGTGAGTGGCTGGCTGAGGTGCCATCTGTTGAGAAAGTACTGAAGGCGATCCGGAGTCTGAGACCCGGAAAGGCAGCGGGCAGAGATGATCTCCCAAGCGAAATGCTGAGGGAGGGTGGCGTTTGTGCACAGACTGCCCTATATGACATCATAACAACAGTCTGGACTACTGGACGGGTTCCGCAGGATTGGAAGGATGCCCTGGTGGTCCCCCTTTTTAAGAAGGGCGACCGCACAGACTGTAACAACTACAGCGGCATCTCACTCCTCAGAGTGCCGGGAAAGGTCCTGGCAAGAATTATTCAACATCGCCTTGCCAGGCACGCTGAGGAGAGGCTTGCGGAGCCCCAATGCGGTTTCAGGAAAGGGCGGTCCTACACAGATGCCATATTTTCTCTCCGTCTGCTACAGCAGAGGTGTAGGAAATTCCAGCAAGACCTACATCTCTGCTTTATTGACCTGGTCAAGGCCTATGATACCATAAGTAGGCCTGGGCTCTGGGTTGTTCTTCGTGATTTTGGAGTCCCTGACCCTCTGCTCACGATCATTAAGGACCTTAATGATCGTGTGAGCGGGCCCAGGTAAAACTATGTGGCCGGGAGTCAGAGCCATTCCCTGTACACCTTGGGGTGCTACAGGGATGTCCTCTCGCTCCCACATTATTTAACATCTATTTTGACCACGTAGTTCGTGAAGACTTCAATAGCTGTACCGGGGGAATCTCCATTTGGTACATATATAATGGGAGGCTGATCGATGCCCGGCTGCATTCAAGGGATGGCTCCCTATTGCTCAACCACGTTATGTATCCTGATGATTTGGTAATAGCTGCTCATTCGGAGGAGGAGTTGGAGACGCTGCTGCTGAGACTGGAGCGTGCCACTTAGAGATGGGGCCTTACCATCAGCCCCACCAAAACTTAGCACCTGCCTGGGTATTTTGTACCATCGGACACTCCACCCCCACAACTCCCAATCGGTGATGGGGCAGTTGTGGAGAGAGTGGAGAGTTTCCCATACTTGAGCAGTGTGCTTTTGACCGGCTCCAGTTTAACAGCAGAAGTCTCACTCCGAATCAGTCCAGCGGCAATATCTTTTCATCGGTTGCGTAACGCTGTGTGGAAGCTACCTGGTCTGTCGCTCCGCACGAAGCTTCAGGTCTTCTCGGCCACGGTCATTCCCTCCGTTCTCTACGCTTGCGAAACGTGGACCCCCCTAATGGAACATCTTCGCCGGTTAGAAACATTTAGGCTAGCCTTCCTACCATCCATCCTGGGTTTAACCAGGCTAGATTGTGTGAGCTCACACATCCTTGAAAGATCTGGGAAAGGTCCCATCGGTGAGCTCCTCCGGCAGGCAAGGCTGCGTTGGCTGGGTCATGTAGCCCGCATGCCCACCCACCGCATGCCGAAACAGCTTCTGTTCGGCCGGATCAAGGGGGCTAAACGGGCGCGGCATGGGCTAGAGAAGAGATGGAGTGATGTGGTACAGGAGGACGTGGAGCTGAGTGGACGTGCCGATGACTGGTACCAGCGGTATCAAGATCGGCCTCTGTGGAGGAGGCTCGTGAAGGATGCTACTGGGCAGTTGGAGGCAGTCGCCCTCCAACAACAACGGAGGGTGGAGCAGCGACACTCACAACAACGAGCCGAGCGCCGGGTGGCTAAAGCACAGCAAGTTGGCACAGTAGGGGGCACAGGTGGTGCATCAGCCAGTCATCTCAGTCAGTCGACCCGTGGCACCTGGGTCTGCCCCGTGACCACCTGCCAGCGGGCGTTCGACACTTCACGTGGCCTCAACGTGCACATAGCCTGGCACAAGCGAATGGCGGTTGTTGTTGTGTGAGTGGGTTGGTGAATGGGTGGGTGAGTGTGTGAGTGAGTTGAGTGAGTGGGTAAGTGAGTGGGTGATTGAGTGGGTGAGTGTGAGTTAATATGTGATTGAGTGTGTGAGTGAATGAGTTGTGTGAGTGAGTGAGTGTGTGGGTGAGTGTATGAGTGGGTGAGTGTGTGAGTGAGTGGGTGAGTGTATGAGTTGAGTGAGTGTGTGAGTGTGTGAGCGGGTGAGTGAGTGAGTGGGTGAGTGAATGAGTTGAGTTAGTGTGTGTGTGAGTGGGGGAGTGAGTGGATGAGTTTGTGAGTGAATATGTGAGTGAGTGAGTGGGCGAGTGAGTGTGTGAGTGAATATGTGAATGAGTGTGTGGGTGAGTGAATGAGTTGAGTGAGTGTGTGAGTGAGTGGGTGAGTGTGAGTTAGTGTGTGAGTGTGAGTGGGTGATTGAGTGAGTGAGTGGGTGAGTGAATGAGTTGAGTAAGTGGATGAGTGAGTGGGTGAGTGAGTGGGTGAGTGAGTGAGTGGGTGAGTGAGTAGGTGAATGAGTTGAGTGAGTGGGTGAGTGAGTGGATGAGTGAGTGAGTTGGTGAGTGAGTGGGTGAGTGGGTGAGTGACTGAGTGAGTGGGTGAGTGAGTGGGTGACTGAGTGTGTGAGTGAGTGGGTGAGTGAGTGAATGAGTCGGTGAGTGAGTGGGTGAGTGAGTGGGTGAGTGAGTGAGTGGGTGAGTGTGAGTGAGTGAGTGTATGTGTTGAGTGAGTGGGTGAGTGAGTGAGTTGAGTGACAGCTACACCCAGTCGCACCCCGCAGTCTATAAACCTTCACCACCTTCTCCACCACCACCACTACCTCCACCGCCACCTCCTCCACCACCGCCTCCACCACCGCCTCCACCACCTCCACCGCCTCCACTGCCACCACCTCCACCACCACCTCCATCACCACCACCACCACCACCTCCACCGCCACCACCTCCACCACCTCCACCGCCACCACCTCCACCACCTCCACCACCACCTCCACCACCACCACCACCTCCACCTCCACCACCGCCACCACCAGCACCACCACCACCACCACCTCCACCACCACCACCAGCACCACCACCACCACCACCTCCACCTCCTCCACCGCCACCACCTCCACCACCACCTCCACCAGCACCTCCACCCACGCGTCTCCCTACAGACGTATCCACCCACCCCGCCGCCACCACCCCCCCACCTCGCCCCCGCCCCGCCCCCCGCGGAGAAAACTTCAAAGCGCCGATCCCCCGCCCCGCCCCCTGCCCCCCGCCGTCTCGCTCCCCCCCTCTGAGTGGCAGTGCCGCTATAAGCGGCGTGAGAAGAAGACTCATCCACTCACTCCTTGCCCACACTCTCTCCCCACTCTCTCTCCCCACTCTCTCTCCCCACTCTCTCTCTCCCCACTCTCTCTCCCCACTCTGCCCACTCTCCCCACTCTCTCCTCACTCTCTCTCCCCACTCTGCCCACTCTCCCCACTCTCTCCCCACACTCTCTCTCCCCACTCTCCCCACACTCTCTCCCCACTCTCCCCACACTCTCCCCACGCTCCCTACCCACACTCTCTCCCCACTCTCCCCACTCTCTCTACCCACTCTCTCCCCACTCTCTCCCCACTCTCCCCACTCTCTCTACCCACGCTCTCTCCCCACACTCTCTCCCCACTCTCCCCACGCTCTCTCCCCACGCTCTCTCCCCACGCTCTCTCCCCACACTCTCTCCCCACTCTCTCCCCACTCTCTCTCCCCACTCTCTCTCCCCACTCTCTCTCCCCACTCTCCCCACTCTCCCCACTCTCCCCACACTCTCTCCCCACTCTCTCCCACTCTCCCCACTCTCTCTCCCCACTCACTCTCCCCACTCTCCCCACTCTCCCCACTCTCCCCACTCTCTCTCCCCACTCACTCTCCCCACTCTCCCCACTCTCCCCACTCTCCCCACGCTCTCTCACCACTGCTGGACAATGCGCTGCCTTCTGATCCCAAAGATGACCAGCATCATCATCAGTATCATCATCATCAGCATCGCCACGACTCTAAGCGCCGCGAGACCTGGAGGTGAGTTCAGCATCATCATCAGCAGTAGCATCATCATCATCAGCAGCAGTAGCATCATCATCAACATCATCATCAGCAGTAGCATCATCATCAACATCATCATCAGCAGTAGCATCATCATCAACATCATCATCAACATCATCAGCAGCAGTAGCATCAACATCATCATCAACATCACCATCAGCAGTAGCATCATCATCAACATCACCATCAGCAGTAGCATCATCAACATCATCAACAGCAGCAGCATCATCATAAACATCATCAACAGCAGTAGCATCATCAACATCATCATCAACATCATCAACAGCAGCATCATCATCAAAAGTAGCATCATCACCATCAACATCATCAACAGCAGCATCATTAGCAGCATCAGCAACAGCATCAACATCAACATCAGCAGCAGCATCATAATCAACAACATCATCAGCAGCAGCATCATCAACATCAATTTCAGCAGCAGCATCATCAACAGCAGCATCATCAGCAGCAGTAGCAACATCATCATCAGCAACAGCATCATCATCAACATCATCAGCAGCAGTAACATCATCATCAACATCAGCAGCAACAGCATCATAATCAACATCATCATCAGAAGTAGCATCATCAACATCAGCAGTAGCATCATCATCAACATCATCAGCAGCAGTAACATCAACATCAAAAGCTGCAGCATCATCATCATCAGCAGCAGCGGCAGCAGCATTATCATCAACAGCAGCAGTAGCATCATCAACATCATCAACAGCAGCAGCATCATTAGCAGCATCAGCAACAGCATCAACATCAACATCAGTAGCAGCATCATCATCTTCATCAACATCATCAGCAGCAGCATCATCAACATCAATATCAGCAGCAGCAGCAACATCAACAGCAGCAGCATCATCAGCAGCATCAGCAACAGCATCATGATCAACATCATCATCAGCAGTAGCATCATCAACATCATCAACAGGAGCAGCAGCATCAGCAGCAGCAGTAGCAACATCAGCAACAGCATCATCATCAACATCACCATCAGAAGTAGCATCATCATCAGCATCATCAGCAGTAACATCATCATCAACATCATCATCAGCAATTGCATTATCATCAACATCATCAGCAGCAGTAGCATCATCAACATCATCAACAGCAGTAGCATTATCATCAACATCATCAGCAACAGCATCATCATCAACATCATCATCAGAAGTAGCATCATCATCAACATCATCAGCAGTAGCATCATCATCAAAATCATCATCAGCAGTAGCATTATCATCAACATCATCAGCAGCAGTAGCATCAACATCAAAAGCAGCAGCATCATCAGCAGCAGCGGAAACAGCATTATCATCAACAGCAGCAGCATCAGCAGCAGCAGTAGCATTATCATCAACATCAGCATCAGCAGTAACATCATCATCAGCAGCAGCATCATCATCAACATCAGCATCAGCAGTAGCATCATCAGCAGCAGCATCAGCAACAAGCACCAAACATACAGCAGCAGGCATGGTCAGGGTCGGGATTGAACCCACGACCTCCTGTGGACGCGGCGAGGTAGTCAACATCTCCTAGCCACACCGGTGCACAGACACACGCCTGCGGAGTGTTGTCGTTGTTATTATTATTGTTGTTGTTGACTGTACTTCTGCATCACTGTCAATGCAGCAGATGGGTAGGTGGGTGGATAGTTGAGTGGGTGAGTGAGTGGGTGAATAAGTGGGTGAGTAAGTGGGTGAGTAAGTGTGTGAGTGGGTGGGTGTGTAAGTAGGTGGTTGAGTAGGTGAGTGAGTGGTTGAGTGGGTGAGTGAGTGAGTAAATGCGTGGTTGAGTAGGTGAGTGAGTGGGTGAGTGAGTGGGTGTATCAGTAGGTGAGTAAGTGGGTGGTTGAGTAAGTGAGTAAGTGGGTGAGTAAATGGGTGGTTGAGTAGGTGAGTAAGTGGGTGAGTAAATGGGTCGTTGAGTAGGTGAGTGAGTAGGTGGTTGAGTAGGTGAGTGAGTGGGTGAGTGAGTGGGTGGTTGAGTAGGTGAGTAAGTGAGTGGTTGAGTAGGTGAGTAAGTGGGTGAGTAAGTGGGTGGTTGAGTAGGTGAGTAAGTGGGTGAGTAAGTGGGTGGTTGAGTAGGTGAGTGAGTGGGTGGTTGAGTAGGTGAGTATGTGGGTGGTTGAGTAGGTGAGTGTGTGAGTGGGTGGATGGTTGAGTGGGTGAGTGAGTGGGTGGTTGAGGAGGTGAGTGAGCAGGTGAGTGAGTGGGTGAGTGAGTGGGTACTTGAATGGGTGAGTAAGTGGGTGAGTAAGTGGGTGAGTAAGTGGGTGGTTGAGTAGGTGAGTAAGTGGGTGAGTAAGTGGGTGAGTGAGTGGATGGTTGAGTAGGTGAGTGAGTGGGTGAGTGAGTGGGTGAGTGAGTGGGTGAGTGAGTGGGTCAGTGAGTGGGTGAGTAACCGGGCGAGTAAGTGGGTGGTTGAGGAGGTGAAAGAGCAGGTGAGTGAGTGGGTGCTTGAGTAGGTGAGTGAGGGCGTGAGTGGGTGAGTGGGTGGTTGAGTGAGTGGGTGAGTAAATGGGTGGTTGAGTAGGTGAGTGAGTGGGTGCTTGAGTAGGTGAGTGAGGGCGTGAGTGGGTGAGTGGGTGTTTGAGTGGGTAAGTGGATGACTAAGTGAGTGGTTGAGTAGGTGAGTGAGTGGGTGGTTGAGTAGGTGAGTGAGTGAGTGAGTAAGTGCGTGAGTGGGTGAGTGAGTGAGTGGGTGAGTGAGTGGGTGGTTGAGTAGGTGAGTGAGTGGGTGGTTGAGTGGGTGAGTGAGTGGGTGAGTGGGTGTTGGAGTGGGTGAGTAAGTGGATGAGTAAGTGGGTGGTTGAGTAGCTGAGTGAGTGGATGGTTGAGTAGGTGAGTGAGTAGGTGAGTGAGTAGGTGAGTGAGTGGGTGGTTGAGTAAGTGAGTGGGTAGGTGAGTGAGTGGGTGAGTGAGCGGGTGAGTGAGTGAATGGTTGAGTAGGTGAGTGAGTAGGTGAGTGAGTGAGTGAGTGGGTGAGTGAGTGGGCGAGTAAGTGGGTGAGCAGCGCCTTCCTGCGTGGTGAGAGCCCTGTGCCACACAGGGACAGCTGCCAGTGGGGGTGCCCCTAGGCGAGATTCACACAGCAGCACCTTTGTGGTGATCGCCAGGGATGGTTGTAGGAACGCTGACGTCATGGATGTCCATTTCACCATGGAAGTCCATTTCACCATGGGAGTCCAGTTTACCGCGGGAGTCCAGTTTACCATGGGAGTCCAGTTTACCGTGGGAGTCCAGTTTACCGTGGAAGTCCAGTTCACCATGGAAGTCCAGTTCACCATGGGGGTCCAGTTCACCATGGGGGTCCAGTTCACCATGGGAGTCCAGTTCACCATGGGGGTCCAGTTTACCATGGAAGTCCAGTTTACTATGGAAGTCCAGTTTACTATGGAAGTCCAGTTCACCATAGGGGTCCAGTTCACCATGGAAGTCCAGTTTACTATGGAAGTCCAGTTCACCATGGAAGTCCAGTTTACTATGGAAGTCCAGTTCACCATGGGGGTCCAGTTCACCATGGGAGTCCAGTTTACTATGGAAGTCCAGTTCACCATGGAAGTCCAGTTTACTATGGAAGTCCAGTTCACCATGGGAGTTCAGTTCACCATGGAAGTCCAGTTTACTATGGAAGTCCAGTTCACCATGGAAGTCCAGTTTACCGTGGAAGTCCAGTTCACCGTGTGAGTCCAGTTCACCATGGGGGTCCAGTTCACCATAGAAGTCCAGTTCACCATGGGAGTCCAGTTTACCATGCGAGTCCAGTTCACCATGGGAGTCCAGTTCACCATGGGAGTCCAGTTTACCATGGGGGTCCAGTTTACCATGGGAGTTCAGTTTACTATAGAAGTCCAGTTCACCATGGAAGTCCAGTTCACCATGGGAGACCAGTTTACCATGCGAGTCCAGTTCACCATGGAAGTCCAGTTCACCATGGGAGTCCAATTTACCATGGGAGTCCAGTTTATCATGGGAGTCCAGTTTACCATGGGAGTCCAGTTCACCATAGGAGTCTAGTTTACCATGGGAGTCTAGTTTACCATGGGAGTCCAGTTTACAATGGGAGTCTAGTTTACCATGGGAGTCTAGTTTACCATAGAAGTCCAGTTTACCATGGGAGTCCAGTTCACCATGGAAGTCCAGTTTACCGTGGAAGTCCAGTTTACCTCCACAATCCACCATCATCCATGGTAAATCCACTGCTGTATGATCGTCTCCCCAACCAATCACCACCACCATCATTCATGGTAAATCCACTGCTGTATGATCGTCCCCCCAACCAATCACCACCATCATCATCCATGGTAAATCTACTGCTGTATGATCGTCTCCCCAACCAATCACCACCACCATCATCCATGGTAAATCCACTGCTGTATGATCGTCTCCCCAACCAATCACCACCATCATCATCCATGGTAAATCCACTGCTGTATGATCGTCTCCCCAACCAATCACCACCATCATCATCCATGGTAAATCCACTGCTGTATGATCGTCTCCCCAACCAATCACCACCATCATCATCCATGGTAAATCCACTGCTGTATGATCGTCTCCCCAACCAATCACCACCATCATCAGCCATGGTGTATCCACTGCTGTATGATCGTCTCCCCAACCAATCACCACCATCATCATCCATGGTGTATCCACTGCTGTATGATCGTCTCCCCAACCAATCACCACCATCATCATCCATGGTGTATCCACTGCTGTATGATCGTCTCCCCAACCAATCACCACCATCATCAGCCATAGTCAGTCCACCGCTGGATGAAGGCGTCTCGACGTTGTCGCTGGGGAGACAAAGACGGCCGGGCGTGGTTGCTAGGCGACCACGCCTACTTCCACCTCGTTCGCCATGATGGGTCTCGCATGCACTTGCCCCAAACAGCCTGTTGAAGGCTACACGGGGGAACTTTATATTTGTTTTTGTTTTCACGTGCACCAGGGACGAGGTGGAGCAGCCCCGGGCCTCTGTGCTGTCACCGTCAGAGCAAGTTCGTGTACCTGGGCACAGGTAATCAGCACCACACCTGTACACACTCAGCACTCACCTGTACACACTCAGCACACACCAGTATACTCTCAGCACACACCTGTACACACTTAGCACACACCTGTACACACTCAGCACACACCTGTACACACTCAGCACACACCTGTACACACTTAGCACACACCTGTACACACTCAGCACACACACTCAGCACACACCTGTACACACTCAGCACACACCTGTACACACTCACCACACACCTGTACACACTCAGCACACACCAGTACACACTCACCACACACCTGTACACACTCAGCACACACACTCAGCACACACCTGTACACACTCAGCACACACCTGTACAATCTCAGCACACACCTGTACACACTCAGCACACACCTGTACAAACTCAGCACACACCTGTACACACTCAGCACACACACTCAGCACACACCTAGCACACACACTCAGCACACACCTGTACACACTCAGCACACACACTCAGCACACACCAGTACACACTCAGCACCACACCTGTACACACTCAGCACACACCTGTATACACTCAGCACACACCTGTACACACTCAGCACACACCTGTACACACTCACCACACACCTGTACACACTCAGCACACACCAGTACACACTCACCACACACCTGTACACACTCAGCACACACACTCAGCACACACCTGTACACACTCAGCACACACCTGTACAATCTCAGCACACACCTGTACACACTCAGCACACACCTGTACAATCTCAGCACACACCTGTACACACTCAGCACACACACTCAGCACACACCTAGCACACACACTCAGCACACACCTGTACACACTCAGCACACACACTCAGCACACACCAGTACACACTCAGCACCACACCTGTACACACTCAGCACACACCTGTATACACTCAGCACACACCTGTACACACTCAGCACACACAATCAGCACACACCTGTACACACTCAACACACACCTGTACACACTCAGCACACACTCAGCACACACCTGTACACACTCAGCACACACCTGTACAATCTCAGCACACACCTGTACACACTAAGCACCACACCTGTACACACTCAGCAAACACCTGTACACAGTGACCACACACCACACAGAGACCCACAGACTCACCACACAGAGACCCACAGACTCACCACAAAGAGACCCATAGACTCACTACACAGAGACCCACAGACTCACCACACAGAGACCCACAGACTCACTACACAGAAACCCACAGACTCACCACAAAGAGACCCACAGACTCACTACACAGAGACCCACAGACTCATCACACAGAGACCCACAGACTCATCACACAGAGAGCCCCACAGACTCACCACACAAAGACCCACAGACTCATAACACAGAGAGACCCACAGACTCACCACACAAGAGACCCACAGACTCACCACACAGATACCCATAGACTCATCACACAGAGACCCACAGACTCACCACAGAGACCCACAGACTCATCACACAGATGCCCACAGACTCACCACACAGAGACCCACAGACTCACCACACAGAGACCTACAGACTCACCACACAGAGACCCATAGACTCATCACACAGAGACCCACAGACTCACCACACAGAAACCCACAGACTCACAACACAGAGAGACCCACAGAATCACCACACAGAAACCCACAGACTCACCACACAGAGACCCACAGACTCACCACACAGAGACCCACAGACTCACCACACAGAAACCCACAGACTCACCACACAGAGACCAACAGACTCACCACACAGAGACCCACAGACTCACACACAGAGACCCACAGACTCACCACACAGAGAGCCACAGACTCACCACACAGAGACCCACAGACTCACCACACAGAGACGCACAGACTCACACACAGAGACCCACAGACTCAACACACAGAGAGGCCCATAGACTCATCACACAGAGACCCACAGACTCACCACACAGAGACCCACAGACTCACCACACAGAGACCCACAGACTCACCACACAGAGAGACCCACAGACTCACCACACAGAGACCCATAGACTCACAACAGAGACACACAGACTCACCACAGAGACACCCACAGACTCATCACACAGAGACCCACAGACTCACCACACAGAGAGCCCCATAGACTCATCACACAGAGACCCACAGACTCACCACACAGAGACCCATAGACTCATCACACAGAGACCCACAGACTCACCACACAGAGACCCACAGAATCACCACACAAAGACCCACAGACTCACCAAAAAGAGACCCACAGACTCACTACACAGAGACCCACAGACTCATCACACAGAGACCCACAGACTCACCACACAGGAGGCCCACAGACTCACCACACAGAAACCCACAGACTCACCACACAGAGAGACCCACAGACTCATCACACAGAAACCCACAGACTCACCACACAGAGACCCACAGACTCACCACACAGAAACCCACAGACTCACCACGCAAAGAGACCCACAGACTCACCACACAGAAACCCACAGACTCACCACACAGAGACCCACAGACTCACCACACAGAGACCCACAGACTCACCACACAGAGACCCACAGACTCACCACACAGAGACCCACAGACTTACCACACAGAGAGACCCACAGACTCATCACACAGAGAGACCGACAGACTCACCACACAGAGACTCACAGACTCACCACACAGCAGACCCACAGACTCACCACACAGAAACCCACAGACTCACCACACAGAGAGACCCACAGACTCACCACACAGAAACCCACAGACTCACCACACAGAGACCCACAGACTCATCACACAAGGACCCACAGACTGACCACACAGAGAGACCCACAGACTCACCACACAGAGACCCAAAGACTCACCACACAGAGACCCATTGACTCATCACACAGAGACCCACAAACTCACCACACAGAGACCCACAGACTCACCACACAGAGACCTATAGACTCATCACACAGATACCCACAGACTCACCACACAGAGACCCACAGACTCACCAAACAGAGAGACCCACAGACTCACCACATAGAGACCCATAGACTCACAACAGAGACACACAGACTCACCACAGAGAGCCCCACAGACTCATCACACAGAGACCCACAGACTCACCACACAGAGACCCACAGACTTACCACACAGAGAGACCCACAGACTCATCACACAGAGAGACCGACAGACTCACCACACAGAGACTCACAGACTCACCACACAGCAGACCCACAGACTCACCACACAGAAACCCACAGACTCACCACACAGAGAGACCCACAGACTCACCACACAGAAACCCACAGACTCACCACACAGAGACCCACAGACTCATCACACAAGGACCCACAGACTGACCACACAGAGAGACCCACAGACTCACCACACAGAGACCCAAAGACTCACCACACAGAGACCCATTGACTCATCACACAGAGACCCACAAACTCACCACACAGAGACCCACAGACTCACCACACAGAGACCTATAGACTCATCACACAGATACCCACAGACTCACCACACAGAGACCCACAGACTCACCAAACAGAGAGACCCACAGACTCACCACATAGAGACCCATAGACTCACAACAGAGACACACAGACTCACCACAGAGAGCCCCACAGACTCATCACACAGAGACCCACAGACTCACCACACAGAGAGACCCATAGACTCATCACACAGAGACCCACAGACTCACCACACAGAGACCCACAGAATCACCACACAGAGACCCACAGACTCACCAAAAAGAGACCCACAGACTCACTACACAGAGACCTACAGACTCATCACATAGAGACCCACAGACTCATCACACAGAGAGGCCCACAGACTCACCACACAGAGACCCACAGACTCATAACACAGAGAGACCCACAGACTCACCACACAGAGACCCACAGACTCACCACACAGAGACCCATAGACTCACCACACAGAGACCCACAGACTCACCACACAGAGACCCATAGACTCACCACACAGAGACCCACAGACTCACCACACAGAGACCCATAAACTCACCAAACAGAGACCCACAGACTCACACACAGAAACCCACAGACTCACCACACAGAGACCCACAGACTCACACACAGAGACCCACAGACTCACCACACAGAGACCCACAGACTCACCACACAGAGACCCACAGACTCACCACACAGAGACCCACAGACTCACCACACAGAGACCCATAGACTCATCACACAGAGACCCATAAACTCATCACACAGAGACCCACAGACTCATCACACAGAGACCCACAGACTCACCACACAGAAACCCACAGACTCACCACACAGAGACCCACAGACTCACCACACAGAGAGACGCACAGACTCACCACACAGAGACCAACAGACTCACCACACAGAGACCCACAGACTCACACACAGAGACCCACAGACTCACCACACAGAGAGCCACAGACTCACCACACAGAGACCCACAGACTCACCACACAGAGACGCACAGACTCACACACAGAGACCCACAGACTCACCACACAGAGAGGCCCATAGACTCATCACACAGAGACCCACAGACTCACCACACAGAGACCCACAGACTCACCACACAGAGACCCACAGACTCACCACACAGAGAGACCCACAGACTCACCACACAGAGACCCATAGACTCACAACAGAGACACACAGACTCACCACTGAGACACCCACAGACTCATCACACAGAGACCCACAGACTCACCACACAGAGAGCCCCATAGACTCATCACACAGGAACCCACAGACTCACCACACAGAGACCCACAGACTCATCACATAGAGACCCATAGACTCACAACAGAGACACACAGACTCACCACAGAGAGCCCCACAGACTCATCACACAGAGACCCACAGACTCACCACACAGAGAGACCCATAGACTCATCACACAGAGACCCACAGACTCACCACACAGAGACCCACAGAATCACCACACAGAGACCCACAGACTCACCAAAAAGAGACCCACAGACTCACTACACAGAGACCTAC